TTCAATGGCTAACGTTGACCGAGTCGAGCGTGCGTGCGGAGAACGGCCCCGACGACGGTACCGGCAACGACGGCGTGACTTCGGGCGGTGAGCGGGGTGTCGTAGGATGATGCGCGGGGTGATTATGGCACAGTATAAGCAAGCCGGTGTGGGCACCGGGGGCCGCGCAGCTGGGTTTTTGACCCAAAACGCCGCGCCGCACCGCCTCATATGGGACTCCGCGGAGATGGGTTTCAGGCTTGGGCTTAGCCCTATAGCTTACGGCACAAGGTTGACGATACAGAGGAGCGGGGATCGAGGCCAACAGGCGTTAGCGCAGTAGCTGCAGCGGAGCGTCGCGGAAGGGACCTGTGGGGTCGAGGGCCGCCAAGGCTATCCCCCTCAGTTTTGCTTATGGGTGCGGTGGCGGGCCCAGTCCGCGGGGTTGGCGATGTGCCAGCAGCCCTGCGGCCGCCCGACCCGCAAACGGGCGGGCCTGAGCGCTCGCCGGAGAGTTAAGGCTGTATGAGGCACCGGAATCCGGCCTCGGAAGGGGGGGGCAGATTCGCGAAGGTGGGAGGTCGACTGGCTTTTGGGGGAGCCGCGGGGCATTGCCCCGGTCGAGTTCTTCGGGACATCCGTTAAAAATTGGGGCGAGATGCCCTTCTCGGCCTTCTGACCAAGGTCAAGTGTTGTATCGGTTCAGATCAGTTTAATATCTGATCCGTGGTAGATCGGACCACACATAAAAAGAAAAGGGGTTGAAACCACCTGTCGAGCGCATCGGTCCGGCGCCATACCTGTCTCTTATACACATCTAGATGTGTATAAGAGACAGGTATGAGGCAGTGTGTGTTTGTGTAATGGGGTGGGGGGGGAGGGGGGGACCCCCCCCCCCCCAATCAAAAAAAAAAAAAAAAAAAAAAAAAAAAAAAAAAATTTTTTTTTTTTTTTTTTTTTTTTTTCAATTTGCATCACGACCCCCCCCCTTTGAAAATCGTTTTTTTTTTTTCTTTTCTTTGAGGGGTTGGGGCGCGGTTTTTGCAACCCCATTTTGTTTTAAAAAAATTTGCGCTCCCCCCCCCCACTGGCCGCTACGCGAACGCAAAGTCGCGTGGCGGTGTGGCTATGGCCTCGGGGTCGCGGCCTCGTCGCCTCAGCCGCGGCCGCGACCATGGCTGCCCACGGTCGCCTCCCTGGGAGATTCATAGGGCGTATGCTGATTTGCGTGAACGTTTTGAATGAAACGTAATGGAGGAAGATGTACTAACTTATGTGCGGACTTATCTTGTCTGTCAAAGGAACAAACCCTCACATGAGAATCCGACGGGACTTCTGAGACCGCTGCCTATTCCAAGTGAGCCAGGTGATTCTATTTCCATGAACTTTATGAGTCTCACAGACTCTCACTAAGAGTCGAAATGACAACAGTCAGGAAATGGTCATCGTAGATAGATTCGCAACGTATGCTATGTTCATTCCTTTGCCAACCGAGGCTAGAACCGAACTGGTTATCCAGAAGTTTCAGATGCAATGAGTTTCTGAGTATGGATTCCCGAAAACCATCGTTTCTGACAGAGATGTTCGGTTCACTAGTCTACGATTGCAGAAGTTGATGAAAGTCTATGGGATCAGACTGACCATGTTGTCTGACAGACATCCTGAAACGAATGGCCAAACTGAGCAAATGAACTGTCTTTGCCAACAACTCTTGCGAATGTAGGTCCAACCTGATAAGGTTGATTGAGATGAGAACTTGCCTAAGATTGCTAGTACCTACAATAACAATATAAATATTGTTACAGGTAGAACACCTAATGCACTGCATAGAGGATGGAAGCCTAAGCTTCCCATTGATGCATTAACAAGGGACCAGATTCAGAGGTTAACCCCAGGTACACGTGAATTCACAGTTTCATATGACGAAGGCATCAAGAAGGTTAAGGAAAACATACAAAACATCAAACTACAAATGATTTAACAGGCCAATAGACATCGCCGACCTTCACAATTTCAAGAAGGAGACCTTCGGGTTAAATCTAAAGAATTTTCCTTAGAAGAAAATGTATCTAAAAAGCTGCTACCTGTCTACTATAGCCCCTGGGCGATGCAGATGGACCTTCCTACAGTATAGATGTACCTCCACCCCTAAGGACATATCACATCTTCCATGCATCTAAAATGCTACCCTATGTAGAAGGAGATACTTTTCCGAATAGGTTATCTATGTTTCCACCTTCTATGAATGGAGGTTATGACGTTGAAAGGATACTGGAACATGGCTATTTCTCTATAGGTGGCAGAGGAAGACCTGAGAAGCAGTATATTGTACAGTTCAAGTCCCAACCTCCATCTGAAGCCAGATGGTTTAGTAAGAAAAAACTCCTGACATTGTTGCTGAGAATTGATGTATTTCTACGATGGAACTCAAAAATTGGGCTGGCAGGAACGCAATAACCCATGCTGCATGCCTCGTGGAAAGTCTAAGAGCCTCCGGTCCACACTCAGACCCAGGCCGAAGGGGAAAATAAACCCCACGTAAAGATTCAGGGCCTGGAGGAGATATAGTTGACTGAAGTCAACTGCCAGAGACCCCAACAGTCAAAGTCAAAGTGTACCCAGAGCAGGCTGCACACACTTGTTTGTATGCAGGTACCCAGACAACATCAGGTCCAAGAGGAAGTCTGCAACTGTACACAATCCAGGCCCTCGGCTGAGAGTCAATGTGTGGGAGAGGGACCCGAGACCAGACAGCCTCATCAAATGCTACAAAAGGACTGGTCTCTAGGAGGTCGATATTCAGTCTTGCTATGCTGCTTGGACGCTGGCTCGACTGTGACTGGATGCTGGCATTGACGCTGGCGAGACGCTGGCTGTGCGCAAGAACTGTGGACGACGACGCGGGGTTGTGGCAGCATGCTGGTGCTTTCTGTTCTGTGCGCCAGGCATTGCTGATGTGGCGCATGCACCTTGTCTACATTGCTGATGTGGCGCATGCCACTGGTCTACATTGCTGATGTGGCGCATGCCACTTGTCTGCATTGCCGAAGAGGTGCATGCCACCTGTCTCTACATCTGACATGGCATTGGCCACGCTGTCTACATGAGGTGACTGGTTGCGACAAGGAGGGAGATCGGGATCTGTGGATGATTGGGATCGGGTACTCACCTGAGCTTGACGTCATCACTGTATTCTGCTGTTGTCTTCATGGTCTTCACGAGATAGGAGTGCAACGTGATCAGGATTCTCATACTTGTTATCTATACTGGTTGATGACGTGGAGAGGGAAGAAGCCCGGAGAAGAAGTGGGTATTGATTGGATTACTCTTGTGTGATCATTGTTCATCTCTCCCACCTTCTCCTCTGTCTATTCCCCCTCCACTCTCTTCGTCTAATGGTAACGAGATACTGTTTCAGATATCACATCACGTTAACTGGAGACCTTGTGCAGGTCTGAGGCTACTTGTGCTTGACGTCTGATGAGTATCGGTTAGACTGGGTTCATTACACCATACTCAGAAGTGACATCAACCTACTTGCCGGTTTTCCGTTTTAAATTTGGAAAACGGAAAAAACGTTCTGCCGGGGCAATGGTACCTTGTCTGATTCAGGTGCCATGCCAAGTCCAGACACGTCTGCAGAGGAATCACACACAATTATTTTGTACACACTACTATTGCCAGAGAGCCCTGCCCCATTCATCCCTCTGAACACAAGCAGCTGTGAGCCCGTGCGTCGTTTGTTTTTGTGTTTTGTTTTTCCCATAGCCACTTTTCAACAACCAGAACGCAAAAATAAGAGGTACGAAGTTACTACGAACCAAAAAGCAAACCAAGGAAAACCACAAACCCCTCAAAACACCTGTTGCCCCGTTGCACTTGTTCTTTCTTTCTTGAAAGGGCAGCCACTACTTGTTGCCATGCTCTAAATCCGACCATATGAGCGCCTACCTCTTTCATTCTTATTATTGAATGGTTCGTTTACATGCAGTTAGCATTCAGATAGCACTCAGTGGCATACTATGTCTT